TCAAAATAGTTTTACCGTTTTTTTTAGCTTCTTCTAGTTGGTATTTACGATACTGAGTGTGTAAATCTGACTATCTGCTTTTTTAAAAAAATCTTTTTCATTGACCTGTTTGGTTCGTTTCAGTCGAGTGCTAGGGTTTGTGGGAATTTCAGCTAGGGTTTAAGGTTTTTTTGTTTTTTTTTTACTTCGATAAAATTCGAGGATGGGTATTGCGTTAATGACTTGCATTTTAATGGTTACGAATTACGATCTTTTTTGTAAGATTCGCTCAATTGGAGGATTCTTCTTATGTACTGTTATCTTTGCCAAAGACGGTTGTGCTTTTCTTATTGCTTTCGGATCTGTTTGTCTTCAGTTCATGGTGCGGCAAAAGCTTAAGATGAGTTTACAAGCTTCATATTAATACTGTACTTTAAATGAGTCATAAGATGTTTGTTTCTTTTGAAAATGAAAGTTGTAGGAAATTCTCGCAATCTCAAATACGAGATGAGGTAACCGTAGTTACTGGTGCCTTTGTCTGTTTGTGGGGTTTGTATGGTTTCTTCCACATAGTAGATTAATTTAAGTTAGCTTTGGTGCATGTCAAAATCTTTTTATGATCTATTGGTGCATTGATTGGTTCTGCTAATGAGCGTGAATTTTTTTCTCATTTGCCATCATTGTCTTCTGGTTAATAAAGAGAGAGAGATGTTTCAATGTAATTGTTATGGTGGTGTTTGTTAGTATGGTAGTTAGGTTGTCTTTAGTGAAATTGGAACTCATAACATATCCAATCGTTCTTATAACATGGGTCTAATTAGGATAGGCATGTAGATCCAATTGTTTGTGTATGAGACTGACAGAGTACTTCAGATAGTAATATGTGTACCTGCTTTATTTGCTAACATGTGCCGGTGGAATTTGTCCACTTCCTCTGGTCACATTGACAGATAAATTAAATATGGTAGCTTGAGTTGTGATACGAGATACCAAAAATGGCGAAGAAGAAGAATCCATTGGTTTTTATGGACGTCTCTATTGATGGCGACCCTATTGAGAGAATGATTTTTGAGGTAGGCATATCTAAGTTTTGAACAAGATGTTATCTACAAATTATATGTTTCTCGTAATGTTTGTTGCTGTAACTTTTGCTGTTGAGTTGTTTTTATTAATGAAATTTTTGGTTTTCTAGCTTTTCCCTGATGTTGCTCCCAAGACAGCAGAAAATTTCCGTGCACTTTGTACAGGTAATATTTTTTGGCTGCTTCAGATTTATCTTCCACTATTTTGTTTTTTACTTGTGTTTGCAGGAGCTATTTGGCATTCTTTCTTCTTTGTATCTGAATTTTCTATTGTTTATTCCATCTTTAGGAGAGAAAGGAATGAGCACCAAAAGTGGAAAACCATTGCACTACAAGGGATCCTTCTTCCATCGGATCATTAAAGACTCTATGGCCCAGGTTTGTTGGGTTATCTTCCTAATGTTTAGGTGCTTCAGCCGTTTTCCCCCTCTTTTTCTGTGCTTAGTTCCCTGTTGAATGTGGCTTAGAAGTGGTCCATCTTTTGGTCTCTTGTTATTGTTTATGCTGTAGGATACAGGGCAGATGGTCACGCCTGGTTTTCTTGTGATATAGTTTTAAGGTTGTACTTAGTTGTCCATCTCAAATTTTTTTGAGCTTTGTCATGCACAGCCCATCTTGTACACTCAACTGTCTTTCTATATGGCAATGGACTAATAAGTTTGTAAATCTTGCAGGCTGGTGATTTTTTGAAACGAGATGGTGAGTGCACTCTGCATACTCAGCTGATTTTGTAGTTCCGTCTCTCTATGGTTCAGATTTGCAATTTTCTTTGAGATATTCATTTTATCTTTTAGCATTTACTTTTTGAAACTGAAGTCAATCAATATTTGCTTTAGGTGATATCTATTTTCATCTTATTTTTTTCCCACCTTCAGAAAAAAAACATAGTTATTTCAACTATTGTTAGAAATTTCTGAAAGGTAGCTATGTTAATTGTGAGAATGGCTGCTTATAGTGGTTGAAGTCTTAAATATTAAACCAGTAATTTGTCTATGGTTATGAGCTTGTGATGTTAATTGTGCTTCTTGTTATCTTATTATGCAGAACTCTTTATCAGTATTTAGGTGAAAAAAAATTTGTTTGTTATGCTAACTGATTTATTAAATGTTTTTATTATTGTATATCACATTTAATATGGAAAATATATTTGTGATTAATGGTTTTAGCTTTTTGGTTCTTTCTTTTAGTGATGGTTTTTCTTTTTTCATCGATGTAGTGATTGACTGTTGAATACAGAAGAGGTGTTTGTATTGGTAAATGCTCATCCTTAGGCATTAACCATAAAGTTTAGGGTTGTTATGTCAGAGATTACATGTGAAAGGAATTATTAGAAATTTATACTAAAGTAGGATATAATAATGCCATAGATGCCCATGTTAAGCTCTCATAAATTGGTTTAATCTTTTTTTTATTTCAGGATCTGCTGGGGAAAGCATATATGGGGGAAGGTTTCCAGGTGAGAATACTTTAGGATTTATGTCTCTTCTTGATCTTTCTGTGACTGGATCAATTTTTCGGTTTTTTATGGAGAAAGTTTTCCACTTATGTGATGCTTTTTTCTCATCATGATGTGTACATTCTACTGACTTATTTTCAATGCTTTTTATATGTTGAATTCTGGTGTTGATGAAAGCATCTAAAGTACATATTTTATTTTTTACCATCTTTACTGAGTAGTAACAGTAAGTTTTGACTTTGTGTCAGATGAATCACCTAGGCTCAGGCATGATGAATCTGGTCTCTTATCAATGCCTATTGCTGACCGGGACACCTTGGGTTCTCATTTCAACATTACCTTCAAGGCAAATCATCATCTTGACAGGTACTTTTAAGATTTATTATTTATGCTTAACTTCAGTCTTTCCCCCGAGGCTATAATTGTTTTGTCCTATATGTTTCTTTGATTTTTTATTACATGATTGGCCTTCTTAAATGGAAGTGAAGATTTCTTGGGTTGGTTCTAAAATATGTATAATTCTGGTTTTTGGTACTGTGTAGTAGATTTGGTTGTTTATTATAGTTATCTTGTATATTCTTGTATATTTGGCAGAACATGTGT